CCGACAGTGATGATTTGTGAACTTCATAAGAATAGTAGCCTTGTCTTCAAGTTCGAGAACCCAAGAGGCCAAGACGTGTTCCTTCCTCAATCGCAATCGCGAGACGCAGAAGTCAGTCGCGCACCCAACGCAACATCAATAAATTTTTCTCCTCGGCCGAGCTTGGCCGACAAGTTGGCACGCTCCGCATTCAACCAAAAGATGTAGTTAGCTTATAGATTACTCGGCCTACGCGCCACGTAGACTTGGTAGTTTTTAGGGTCAACAAAAGGAGAAGGAGAAAATTTTCATCCACATATATAGCAATTGTATCCTTGTAACCAGGGAATCAATCAAGAAAATACAAGTGCAAATTCATTCTCTTTCTCTCTCTAAGCCTTCTATGTTTCATTCTTCTTCTTCTACAATCTCTATGTTCTCTTTTCTGTATAATGCTTAACATGGTATCAGTCGCCATTAAAGCTTGATCAGCTTCTTCGATCCTTTATTTTTGCTTCCGCTACACGAAATTATTTCTTCTTTTGTCTTATGGGTGTATCAAGATTACCCAGTTCTTCATTCTTCGCTTTGAAAATTTGTGCACGCCAAGTGTTTAAGCCTTTTCCTCAGACAGATTTCTTTGCAATTTTTTGAAATGGTAACTGTGAATCAACTTCAAATCTTGCAATCACTGATCACTGGATTGATTCCATTTGTTTCCACATATGTTACCGTGAAACTGGATGTGACCAACTATCTACAATGGCGTTTTCAGATGCAGTTGATGCTTGAAGTCCATGGAATTATGGGGTTCATTGACGGATTTAATCTGTGTCTTGCTCAGTTTCCTTCTACTTCTTTAGGAGATTCAGAGGTAACATCTGGTACTTCATCTTCAAGAATTGAAACCGATAAGTACAAAGTCTAGAAAATGCATAATCATTCCTTGATGTTGTTAATTATTACCACACTTTCTTCATCCACTATTTCCTATGTAATTTGTAGCAAGAGTTCTCAAGAGATGCTTCAAAACTAGTTTTTTTTTACCAAGTACAAAAACCAGTATAATTAAATTACAGACTAATCTTTACAACATTAAGAAGGGATCATATTCAATTTCCCAGTATCTCCAAAAAATTAAAGAAACAGGGGACTGACTTTCTATTCTTGGTGTCACACTTGCTGATGAAGACTTTGTGATCATTGCGTTGAATGGACTTCCTCCAAAATGCAACACATTTAAATGTGTACTCATAGGGTGTGAAAGTATCATTTCACTCAAGGACTTTCATGCACAATTGCTTGCTGAGGAAGCCATTGTGGATTGTGCTTTTGTTGAATGTGAGACAAAAGGTTCTTTCTTTCCTCTCTTTAGCTCTCAATTTCATGTTGGCTTCAGTGGTGGTTATCATGCTCAATCCAATTTTAGGTCAAGCTATGATAATAATGTTGATAGTTATAATGGAATTCTTAGCTCACCTCCATCTCCATATCCTAGTTCTCTGCCACCTGAAATTACTACACATCAAATTTGTTCACAAAAAGATCATTTTGGTGTTGATTGTCTCTCAGCTTCTAGTAATGTAGTTGTGGGATATGTTGGATATCCAAATGTGGGAAACAACTTATCTAAGCAGCATAAATCAGACTCCTCTGAGAATGAACACTATGTAGATGATGAAGGTGAAGATGAGCCAGAGCTTGATCATGTCCTGGAAGACCTCAATTCATTTGACTTAGCTAATGGGTTGGCTACCATCACTGTCATAAAGCCCACTGCACCCCATAAACAACACAAAAATCATGAAACTCATTTACAGAGCAATTATAATGTTGAAATTCATACAGCTTATGATCGCCAGTCTGGTTTTCTCTCTCACTTCATTGTTTCAGAAGATGAAATGTGTTTAGATGATGCTGAAAAACAAGTTTTTGAATGTATGGACAAGGAAAGTGCAAACTCTCAGTCGATTTCAATGGGTTTACAATTGTGTATCCAAGTGATATTTTCAGTTCTTAACTCTGACAACAAGGCGAAAATTGGTGTTCATACTCAAACTGTTGTACATGAGTTCCGAGGATTTTATGTACTTTGGTTATGCAAAGGTGGAAGTATATTTGATATTCAGTTAGGCTACCATATGAGAATTTTTGATAAAGGTGGGGGCACCAAGTTTATGCTGATTTGGGTACTATGGTATACACGATATAATGGTAAAATACAAGCTCCATATGCTAGGAGGTTTTCTTATTTGCAGAGTATATGTGCAGCAGTGACTAGATATTCCACTCTCCAATTTCAAGGAATATTATCCAGAAAGAGTTTAGATTGCCAGATACTCTCCAAATGAAACAATCTCATGCTTGGACCACCATGAGCTTGTGGGGGGGATGTTAGAGTATGTAGCCAAATAGATAAGGTAGTTAGGATTGTTGCTGTTATAATATTTAGTTAGGATTGTTGCTAAGTGTTAGATTCAAATAAGGCAGTTAGCTGAGTATTCACATATATAGCAATTGTATCCTTGTAACCAGGGAATCAATCCAGAAAATACAAGTGCAAATTCATTCTCTTTCTCTCTCTAAGCCTTCTCTGTTTCCTTCCTCTTCTTTTACAATCTCTTTGTTCTCTTTTTTGTATAATGCTTAACAGGATTCAGCCTTGTGCCTTTGAGAATTTTTGGAAGGGTCGACTCTTCGAAGTAGCCCCTACAATATTTAGTTCAAACAATTTTTCTTCATCATTAATAAAATAAAATTCTAATTAATTTTCTCTAATTTGGGAGAGAATTTTAATTTAGGTGTGTCACTTCTATAATGCTCCTCGTTAAATGCATATATTAGACAATATTTGGTGCATATGAGGTTTTCTTCTTTCTTTTTCGTCAAATGATAGATTTGTAAGATTAGATGTTAGATTAGGCAGCCAAGGGGGTTCGAACGCATGCCGTGATTCAAGGGCAATACTCCTCTTTACCACTGAGAGCAACTTGTGCACATGAGTTTATATGTAAGGGGTAATTTCTCAGGGGTAGTGCAAAACATGTACGAGCCCTTTCTAATGGAAAATAGAAGGGAAATTTTATTTGAACCCATCTAACCTTTCTCTACACCCAACTTAAATTCTAAATGTGAATTGCCTATTTTATCATATTGCATAATTACCATCAAGTACAAGATGAAATTAAGAATAAAACTAAAATCTATCAATAAACCCATACTCAATAATCAAGTTCCACCATCACACAACATTTATCCTACATTCATTTTAACTAAATTCCGAAGAGCTGCCACAAAGCCCTACGATCAGCTAATAATTAAATCTGGTTGCTTTTTGTTTCCTCACTAGCTTCATGTTAACTCGATTAGCAAGAGCAATAATTACAAACAATATCATCACAAGAAACAAAAGAGTCAGAAAGCTTTCAACACATCGAAATGTTTTCCATGTCATTACGAGTGCATGTCTAAAGTGTGAGTTCTCTTCTTGTTATTTGTTTAGTTCTGCTTCCAATTCAACTATGTATGCCTGTAAAAACAACATATATCACTCAAATGAAAATTATTGCCATGATCCTTCAAGAATACGTGATGAGAAGTTCTATTGAAATTTACTTTCACTAAGGTGTCCACATAATTTTACATAATTCAAATTCCAAAAGTACTAGTTCAATTGCTTGCCTAGCAACTACTAAATTGTTTAACCTTGAATTACAAATTCACCACTTAGTTCCACGAATCACATTCAAGCTAGCTAATTGGACTATATTAAGAGCTTGGCGAAGATCATTTCCTAACAACCTTGCACTCCAAACCGACATCGCAAAAGTTTAAAAAACAAATTGATGATGTTGATCAATTCATCTATAACAATTGGTTGCCATGATAAACTCTTAATTCTTCATTCACACTTTTGGGATTTTCTTTTCTAAATGGGTGTAAAGATGAATTTTTCTATAGTGAATTGAGTTTGTAAGGGTAGTTTAGATAGTAAATTTGGGTTTAAAGAGATATTGATTCTTTAATTAAAAATAATTTGGGTGTAGAGAGAGGTTGTATGGGTTCAAATAAAATTGCCCAAAATAAAATTCAATGAGGCCTTCTGATGGAAAAATAAAATTCAACAAGGATTTGGTTCATCTCATACGAACAGAGTCAATCTATGGATAAAATATGATAAGGGCGATATTAGTAGGACACTAAATCCATTGTTACACTTTCACATCAAACTGAAATATAGTACTTAATTTTTTTTTTCTTTTATTTAATGGCGACGTGATATCCTTTGAATGTACAAACATCATATTCAAAACTCTTCATTTGATTTATCATCTAAAAATCATTTCTAAAAAAATATATTCAATTTGAAAACCGTTTGGCCACCTTTATGTGTCAAACAAATTGAATGTTATGATGACATGTTATTCTCCTAATGAACCGTCAATTTATTTGATTTGTACGAATTATTAAGCGTTCTCAAAATTGAATGAATTTTCCTAAAGTTGATCTTTAGAGGAGTTCGCAGACTCCTCAACCAAGTGCAGAGACCACTCCTCTTGCTAGGTGGTCAAAACCCCTGCCAGGTATTTTATAGATTAATGTCGATGGTGCATGGAGTGAAGACAGGAGGTTGGGTGGTGTGGGTGTGACTTTGGCGATGGAGAGGGGTCTTAATCATGTTTTAATCGAATGTGATTCACTCCAGATCGTCAAAGCATTGGACGAGAGCTCAACGAATATGTCTGCAGTGGGGCTTATTGTGGAAGACTCAAAGGCTATACTTTTCTGGATCACTGGAGCTTCGGTTGCCCATACTCGTCAAGAAACTAATGGTATTGCGCATTGTCTAGTTCGCCATGCTCTTCACATGGATTCGGCCTCTTGTTCCTAGTTTGAGGAGCCTACTGACTTAATCCTAAATTTGCTTGCGACTGAATGCGGCAATATCTTGCCGGCCTACTACGTATCTGGATCTGTTTAATCAATGAAATATCCTGCTGTTGCTTTCAAGAAAAGAAAAATTAAGATTGCTGCGATGTCCCATCGTCATTAAAGGAGTAATGATTTTTTTTGCATGTAAGGAGCCAAACATTGCTTCAAAACCAATAAACGAACAGCCGAAATGTGCTTATCTAATCACCAAAAACAGCGGGAAGAAACTGAGAACTAAATTGTCAACTTATACGTAAACCTCCAAAACAGATCTACATGTTTTATCACTTGAGTTTCTTCGAGTCCTTGGCGGTTTTCTCCAACTGTGCGAAAACTGGAGAAAATCTGTGATCGCGGATGAGAGAAACTAAAACGTACGTGTTTGCAGCTAAGAATATGATGCTTGCCGTCCAGAGTTGAAGAAAGACATTTTGTCCCTTGAACTCAAGCATATAACCCCACAACAACCAATGAAGTTGACCGCCTACCCACAATGCGATGCACGATAGGCCCTTCCATTTAAGCTTCATGTTGCTCCAAGCGAGAACCAGAGGCAAGAGGCAAAAGAACCAAACAAAGTATTGTGCAGTCATTACCTGTCAACAATGGACAGAAGTAATTTTGATTCAGTCGGGAAATCAAAATTTTCCAAGGTCGAAAGTACAGTATTCCACGCTACCCAAAAAAAAGGTACAGTATTGAAGCAGAGGTTTTCAATGAGAATAACCACTAGGAATCCAACATCGAAAGTCAATCATATAAGTAAAAAAATTTACTAAGCCGGCAATTTGTAGAAGAGAAAATAGTAATAAAGAGAAAAACCTTGTTGAATGCCACGAATGCCACTGTCTGAACTAAGCAGCAGAATGGAAGGTCTTTGGCGAAACTCAAGACAAGAACAACCTGGACTATCAACTGAGGCAAAAATGAGACGAGTTTCTCCAATATGGAAAGTTTACGGTGGTACTGAAGGTAGATGTGATAAAAGTAAATGGAAAATTGTGCCTTGGATCAGTACGGGTAAGATGATACAGCAGAGCCTCGTACAGGAAATCCCACCCATACAGATGATAGAATAAACCAGTGAAAAGGAAGAATACGACCGCAGATATAAAGGAGAAAAGTATCCTTTCTCGTGTTAATGCACTTTTCAAAAGAAACCATGGGCAAAGAAGCTGAGCGAGTCTTGTACCAGAACTGCTTTGAGGTGATTCTTGCCGACGATTCCAATATTGAAGTCTAGGTTTCTGACCAGGCTGAAACACATGCGGATCAAGAATCACAAGGATTGGGAGTGCATAGATAATGGGGTAGATTCTGAAGTGGACAACAAGCCCATACCAAAATGCAGCTTGTAACACACGTCCTGTCATGAAGAAAAAAATCGGAGAGTTAGACAGTTATGGGCAGAAGCCATAACAACCATTCAAAATAATAGAATTTGACTAACACTACTTATAGGCTTATAGCAGAATGCAATGCCAACTTGGGCTTTCGTAGAGAGATCATGCTCACAAAATGCAAAGAACCTTTCTGAATCCGAGGAACATTGGGAATATCGACATCATAATTCCAATATCGAAAATGGAAAACAACAAATGTACTGCCATGTTTGTTGGTATCTAGCACGGTTGCCGCATAAGAGAACAAATCATGAGAGGATTAAACGTCATTACAGAAAACTCAAGAGATAGAAGCATATAGCTAGTTCGATTAATAATTCAACAGATAACTCTCACTGAATACCGAGAAAATTTCATTACTGAGTAATTTAGTAGCAGTTATTCTCTGATGAGTTCAATGCCAAAAGGGAAATAAATTTTAGACAAAGAAAGAAACTTACACCGTTCATAAGACATATGAAGACCCAAAGAACCAAAGCACAAACAATTGGCTCACAATTCCCTCGAGTCCCAATCGTAAAAGTAAACGGATTAAAGAGCCAAACAATCACTGAAATCATGCTCAATTTCTCCGGCACCCCACGAAGCTTCAGTATGATCCTTATAAACAAACCCACAAGCAAATCTACAGAATTTGCACAACACAAAAACAATGTCACTTGAATTCCTCCACTCAAACAAATAATAAAACAAAAGGAGAAATACTTGCAAATAGAACCGGTTACAAGATAAAAGCCAGGATTTATATACGGGTTATTTTCTGTTTAGTATCCGCAATTATATTTTCGATAAAAAGTTTGTAACCACTTCTATTTGCGCATATTTCCAAATACAAAAAGTAAAGTACCTGCAGCTGAGAAGATGAATTTGCCCCAAGAGCGATGGAGAATCGAATTGGGGATGAGCACAAAGGCGAGGAGAGGAGAATATCTGTAAGTGGATCTTTCAAATGGGGATTTGCCAGACGCCATTAGAGAAGCTGCGTCTGAGAATACCATGTAATCGATGTCTGTGTACCTCACCTCCATGTGGGCGTCCTGCCACTCTCCGTAGAGGATTAAAACCACCCTCAGTATCGCCGAGACGATGAGAAGCGTACGGAATTGTACGGACGCCATTGAGGATTGGAGGGGACGGAGATGAAGGAGGGAGTTGGAGGAAAGTGGTGAAGGGTGTTGAAGTTGTACAGGTGGGGTAATATAGTGAATAAATGCATTGACCGAGGGGATTTTGGACACAAATATTTTATTTTCTTTACAGCGCAAAATGTTGAATCTTAACTAATCCAACCTAATATGCTAGGAGATTCGAACTCGAGTTGTAAAGATGTAGTCATAATGTGTTGGGTAACTAATTTAACTCATATTGCTTGACCAAATAAATTAGGTCATATTCAACCGAAGGATCCAGATGATCAAGGTACCAAAAATAGTTCGAAAATTGTCTCCAACCGAGGGTCAGGTCAAATGGCTCGTGGGCCCCACTAGACAAAAAATGGCCAAAGGGCCAACCTTCGGCCCCGAGCGGAGCTATAATTTAAACACAATGGCTAGATGACGTCAGTTATCGTTGGATTTGATTTTTTTTTTTTTTTTGGGCCAAAAATTTTTTAAAAAGTTTTCATTTTTTTTCTATAAATACCTAAGTCATTCGTACACCATTTGTCACAAATTTTTCACCATTACAATTCTCATATTTTCTTACCCCTTCCAATAATCTTTCCTTCAATTTTTTCAATAATTTTCAAATTGCTCATCTACAATGAAAGGTAGGACTTGGACCCTAAAAGAAGATGAAGCTCTTTGCAAGGCTTATAGATGGGTCTCGGAAGATAGTGTGATGGGGACTTCTCAAACAAGTGAAGGTATTTGGACGGACTCGTGTGTCCAAAAATACTATGAGTTCTACAAAGGCACCACTCCACGAATACCCAAAACCACAATAGTTGTTCTTTAAGATGGAATAAATATCTTCATCCAAGTTTGAATAAATGGCATCAAGCACTGATAGCAACCGCAAGTAGGCATGAAAGCATCGCCAATTACTACAACGAAGTAAGTATTTTCACAATTTATTTTAAATATTTATTTATATTACATTTAATTTCATAAATTAATTTCCTTTAATTTTTGTAATTATATTTTCTAGGTATGTCAAGCGGAGGAATTGTATATGGATGACAGCTTAAAATCCTTTCAGTTTCACGGTTGTTGGGAAATTTGTAAAGGGTGGGTGTTATTTGAAGATCCACCTCAACATATAGTAGGTCATACGCCGGTGTAAAGAACTCAATCCTCAATTGTAGATGGGGATGAAGATGGATCTCCTACCATTCAAGAAACGAGGGTAGAAAATTCGTCTTTGGGTGAAGGTTCCATACCTAGGGCTATGGGACAAAACAAGGCCCGAAGGTTGAAGGAAAAGGGTAAGGCAAAGGATGATTACGCCGCTCAACATGAAGTGGCGACCTCATTGCGATTAATGGTGGAGCAAAATGCCTTTGCCGCGGAAGAAATGAACCGTAGGCATGAAGAACGAGCCAAACAAATACAATAAGAGATGGATGATAGGAATATGCAAGGGGACACTTCGGATTACACTCCAATGAGTAAGGCCTATTTTGATAGGAAAAAGAGGGAAATAATGACCCGGCGGTAGTTGTTTACCTCCGACTATACTCCTGCAATGGCGGATGATGAAGATGATGTTGATTATGAACTTCAAATTTAAGTTGTTGTAGTTTTTAAATTTAAGTTGTTGTAGTTTTTAGATTTTAGTTGTAGTTTTTAAATATAAGTTGTAGTTTTTAAATTTAAGTTGTTATAGTTTTTAAATTGATGTTATTGTAGTTTTTAATTTAAATAATAAATTATGTTTGGCCCTATGGCCCTTTGGCCCTTTGGCCCTTGGTTGGAGATGATTTTTTGTGACAAAGCTATGTTTGGCCCTATGACCCTTTGGCCCTCGGTTGGAGATAGTAAGAAATATGGTCATGCATTGTTCATTAAAATATTAATTTCTTGGAGGGCCAGAGGGCTAAAACGAACCCTCTGGCCCTCCTTCGGTTGGAGATGGCCTTAGAGGTTATTAAGGAGTAAGGACATTTGTGAGATTTTATTTTTTTTAAACAAACGATATTATCTATACTAAAGGAGAATGGGTGGGCTTAGTGTGAAATCTCGTCCCTAGAATTTCACTATTAATTACGTATCTCGTTATTTAAATTCGTATTACACGTTTTCGCTATTTTCATTAGTTAATTTTAATTCCGTTAATTTAGAAATTAAATTGAATAGTTATCGGTTTGAAATTTCGTATTGAATCTTTAAAATTCGTTGACCTGTAGAGGTCACAAGTAACGTTTTCGAATAGATCTCGAAACCACGAGCACATAGGCAAAAGCCGTTTGCGAGTCCGGATTATGACGGTATAGTTGCGGACATTTGAAGTCGTTTTACTAAATTTTAGATTATAAATTCAATATAACTCCCACTTTGTGGGGGGAGGCCCAATGAGAAAAAGGAGAGAGAAGGAGAACTATCGAGAAGTAGGGGTGGGGGGAAGAGTCTCTCTCGGCTCACACTTTTCCCAAGCTACACTGCACCGACTCTCTCACTCTCACACACACACACACTCTCTCACCCTTCGATTGATGCCGATGCAGATTCGATGGACTTCATGTTGGTCCAATCATTATGATGTCCTTTAGATTAGCAAGACTACCAAGAGATTATACATATAAATGGTGAGTAGCATAACAGACGGAAGGCTTTAAAATGTGTTTGATATTTTCTGGTTTTGTTGATTAATTTTTATAATTTTGAAATCCATGGGTTAATTCCACATGTCCTACAATATCTGTTGTTCTTCGTTTGTGTGTGGTGTTTGTTGATCAGATTCAATGAATGAGCATGAGGTTCTTTTACTTCAATTTCTTTTATGGTTTTGGTCGGTGTTGTCGACGCTTGCTACATATATATTTGAATTGAAACTACCATGATATATTTGGAGTTCTTGGTTTTGTTTAGGGTTTTCTACCATTCAATGAACCAGTCTGAACATGAATTAAAGTTGGGTAATTCGGATTGGGTGTGTTAATCAAATTTCTTGATTAAGGGTTTGGTTCTGAAGGTCAATTTCTTGTTAATTTTGAGTCATGTTAGTTTTGGATACATGACTTCCGGACTACCTGGAATTATTTTGGGATTTGTTAAATGAATTGGAGATGGGCTGTTACGTAAGTTGCAAAAAATTGATTTCTTGGCAAAGAAAACTCAAGTTTCGAGTAGCCTTCTTTGGCTCTTAATTTCTAGGTCTTTATGTGCTCCCTTGAAGAAAAAATTTTAGTGTATTGAAAGTACATATGTTCATGATCGTAACCCCATTGTTTTCACTCAGTTCCGTTGAGTTTTGGTTGATCAAAACCTTATTTAAACTTGGGTCACAAGCTGCCAAACAGTAGCAGAAAACTGGGTTTCCAATTTCAAGACTCCATTTTTCTGTTGGCATAACTTCCAATTCAAAGCTCTGTTTTCTACAAACTTTATATGCTTGTAAAGTACAAATCACAAGCTTCAAAACCCATATAATATTACGCGATTTGGTTTAGTTTTGAATGTTCCAAAGGGAGTCTAAACTTGGTCCAATGGTGCTGTTTTCTGCAGATTTTGTGGAGAAGCAGAGTACTATTTTTGCCACACCTATCTTCTTTTCCAGATTCCTTTCTAATCTTCTTTACTACTATTTGAGTGATATTATTTGAGTGGTACATTTCAGAATCAGTGTACTTTCTTTAGATAATATTAATTTTGTGTTTAAACACTTAGTTTGGTTATTAAGGCGTGTTACTGGTATTTATACTTTTGATTGTAATTTTATGTTCCAATTAGGTTCTTCAAAGGAACAAAATCAATCGAATTCAAGGTAGGGGGATCTGGGAAACCTTATATGTATTAATCTAATTACTCCTTACTTTTGGTCAATATGCTACGAATTGATTTTAAATATTAAATTTAGTATTACTAGAGACTATGTAAGGCTTAGTAGGCCTATGTTGGTTAGTGAGTTATCCGGATAATATATACGTCGGTTTACGTGCATGCGAAGCAAGGTTCTAAAAAATGCTAAGCGCTAGCCGGGCAACAGGCTGGCACCTAGCGCCTAGGCGGCTAGGCAGAGTCTAGGCGGGCGCCTAGGCGGATTTAGGTAAATTTATTGTATATCTTGTAAATGAGTGCATATTGACATTTACAAAAAATTATACTTGTATATAATTCATGGATAAGATAATAAAAGAAAAAAAGAATAATATATGTGATGTTAGGGTTTAAATACATACTAATGTAAATGGTCTTAAAAGAAAAAAGAATATTAAAATAATAGATTTTTACCAGTTTATGTAGATGGTCTTAAAAGAAATAAAAGAATAAAAAATTGGTAAAGAGAGTTAATTGGGACTAGGACCCGTGCAATCAAAAGAGAGGACATGGTGGGACCATAACAAATTCACCCCACCCATCAGTTTAAACTTTAAACTTTAAGTAAAAAATTAATATGGTGGTCCCCATCCCCATCCCCTTCATCTTCTTCCTCCCGACCTGCAACATTATTTTTCCAAATATATTTTCAGATCTCGGCGTCTTCTCATACGCCCGCCTAGGCCCTCCTAGCTTCCGCCCAGCCCCGCCAGACCCATATAGCTCCGCCTAGACCCATCTAATCCCACCTAGGCGTCCGCCCAATACATTTTCCGATTTTGCTACCGATTAACAGTTAATCGGAGTAGGGGTGGGCGTGGTTTGGTTTGGTGCGGTTTTGAGTGAAACCAAAACCAAAACCGCAAGTTTTTGCGGTTTGGTTCGGTGTGGTTTTGAGGCTAAAACCAAAATGAAACCAAACCATTTGGTTCGGTTTGGTTTGGTTTCAAACGGTTTCGGTTTGGTTTCATTGTTTGAAAAAAACTATTATGGTTACCTAATTGATGACAACAAAATTCACATCCACAAGGACCACAACAAAATAATTCAACTTGAGGCAACTAAGAGCACATCAAATCTCCAATGCCAGTACTGCAAACCCAAGCATAAAAAAGATTCTAATAAGTAATAACTCTGGTTTTGGTAGAACCTACCAATCAAAGTATGCGAAATTTTTTTAATAACAAAAGGTGGTAGATGTGTTTTAGTAAAGTTGCAAACACACAGAAAGTGTAA